CCTGTCCCTCCTAGATGCCGGTGGCAACCCAAACTATCTCCAGACATTGTCACATATCTGCTTGGAGTAGGGTTACCTGATAAAATACAGGGTGCCCAGTTACGTTTGGATATCAGATTAACAGTGAATCATTTTTAGTATAAGTATGCCCCCCAAATAGGCATAAGTATATCTCATGCAATATTTGGGACATACTTATACTAAAAAAAAAAATGTTGTTTTACCAAAATTCAAATGTAATCAGATGTCCTGTATTTTTTTTCTGCTAACTCTGCCAACCCTAACTAGGGGGGCAAAATCGCTCCGGGTTGGGGTCCTCCACTCTAGAGCGTGGGTTCTTCCCCATCACGTCTCAGTTTCCTCACTTGTAAAATGAGTATAATATTAGTACTGACCTGGTTAAGGTGCGCCAGGCACTAACAGAGCTGAGGCGGGCAGAGTGGTAGCATGTGGGGAGTACCGAGTGAAGCCAGCTTCTCTTCTGTGGGAGGCTTGTGGGGGCCTGAGCCGTGCAAGCTGAGCCTTCTTTCACTCTCTGCCCTGGATCTGCCGCGAGTGACTGCTTGACCAAGGAAACACACAGGCAAACACAGCCCCCGGCGATGGACAGTGGGACCAGGCCCTGCAGCCCACATCGTCATTAGAGAACACTGTCTCCTGGGGTCCAGCACTCACGCCTTGGTACTGGGTCCTTCCTGGTGCTCGGCCCTCTGCTGAGTACCATGGAGACAGTGGTGCCCAGACACAGCCCTGGGCCCTGCCTTCCAGGAGCTGGTGACATGGGGCAGTAAATGACGACTGTGACGAAAGGCTCCACCCCCCACCCCCGGTTCCTTGTTCCATGAGCCTGGGGTTGCTCTGACGCCTTCTTCTTGTCCCTCCCACATCCCATCCATCAGCACATCCTGGGTTCTACCTTTACACGTGAGCATAGCCTTATGGCGATGTTGTTGACCTACAATATGCCGCACGTATTTCAAGGGTGCAGTTTGGTCAGCTTTGAAGCCATCGTCACAGTCAAGGTGCCGAACATCTCCGCCACCCCCCACTCCCCCGAAGTTGCCTCGTGCCCCCTGGTAACCTCCCCCTCCCGCCCCCACTGGTCTGCTTCTGTCACCACAGGTTACTTTGCATTCTCTAGGGTTTTATATAAATGGAATCATACAGTATATGCTTTTTTGGGTCTGGCTTTTTTCACTCGTTATAATTATTTCGAGATTTGTCCATGTTGTGGTGTGTAGCAGTGTTCATTGCCTTTTTTTTTTTCCTGGGTGGTATTCCACGGCATGGACGTGCCCCAGCTCATCGACCCATTCACCTGTTGATACATCTACCTCTTGTTTACAATGCGATAATTTATTGAACTATGACACACACCCAGAAAAGAGCACGTGACCAGACGAGTGGATTTTCCCAAAGTGAACACAGCCATGTGACTGGCACCCAGATCAAGACACAGGACATGACCAGCAGAAGCCCCTGTGTCCCTTCTGGTCACTACCTCCTGTTGAAAGGCAGCTCCCCCTACCCT